TACATCTTTTGCAGATGCTTTTCCAATAATAGTATAGAGCTTCAGAAAATGTTGGCTTTGATGCCACACTCCAAGCTGGCACATGTGTATCCATTTTCTGTGGTCATCCCATAGAGATAAAGTGCAGCACCAATTTTGGTATAGTCTGGAATCCATTGCTGGCAAACTGGTAGGAACGGAGGATCTTCTAATGGCAGAAAACAGTCTGTTTGAAATTGTAAACTATTTCTGCCCCATAATAGATGAAAAGGTCAGCTTTGCAAAGTAAAACAGTTCTGCTGAACAGCTACACAGGTAACACAGAAAAGGCCTCTGAGGTCGCTACAATGGGTCAGTCATTAACGGAGAAGAATCCATAAAGAAAGCATATCATCTTCATTTGTATTTTTATAGGTAGCCCTAATTGTGAGAAAGAGTACTGTGGGTGAGTAAAAACCAATGCAATCCATGAGAGGGATAGGAAGTAAGCAAGTGTTTCAATTTGCCAGTAACCACAAATGCCATGATGCAAGCTTTTGGTGGAGCTATACTTTAAGTGGCACACTGGCTGCTTATATTTCTGTGGGACACCAGACGTACAATCCTTCAGGGCTGGTTCACACCATCTGCATTCATGCTGCAATGGCTGTATTTTTCCAGCGTAGCCTGAACACAAGACAAGGCAATTTGCCTTGTCATGGATGGGCTCAGTTCACGCCAACGTGTTCTGTTGGAGTGTGCTTAAAAAGCACTTTTATTTTTTAACACACCACAGTGAGACACGTTATAGCCGAATTGCACCGCGGTGAGCCCATAGAACTGAATAAAATGTCACTTGTGACATTTCAATAAAGTTCTAATTAAAAAAAAAAGTTGTGTGGTTCAATTAAGCGCATCTGAGGACACGCAGTTGAGCATGGCTGCTGGTGTAAACAAACCCTGTATAGAACTGTCCAGTAGCCTAGAAAACCCATTGGCCACTGTATGAAGAGGCAGGAACTCCAGCAGAGAGATCCTGCCGCTGTGGTCTGAAGGGTTATTGTCTTTCTCAATTCAGAGAAACCGATTTTTAAGCCGCTCTTTAGATTTGCAGAGCCCTCACTCCTGAAAACAGCTGTTCTGGTATTCTCAAGGGATTTTCACATTGGCCTTTCAAAAGTTTTTGCCAGCAAGACGACAGACTTCATATACATGTAGGGAACCACATGAGATTTGTGCATCAAATAGACAGCCCATCTAACCAATTAATTCAAACGAGCAACTCTCTGACCTCTTAACACTGCACTATGAAGAAGTCTACTGTGCTGTGATCATATTTTGCGGTCAGCAGCAGGCACAATGATTTTACTTAAGATGAAATGAGCAAAGCAGTTTCCATAGCAACAATGATGTGGTACTCTGGTGGTTACAACGAAATTATATTATCAGTAATAAGGAAGCAGGTAAAAAAAAACTGCATTGGAACTCAGAAAGAGTGGGTAGCTAGCTGTGCCATATGCCCAGTTTAGATGTGTTTGTGAACAATAGGTACCATTAACACCCTCTTCACATTAATTTATTTTAGCGGAAAATAACAAAAAATCTTATCCCAAAAGGAAAAAAACATAACATCTCAAAACACAAAAACATTTCATGTCACTGAGCCATTATTTGCCAGCTATGCAGACTGTAAAATAAAGTTCTTAGGTTCACCTATGTCAAGGCCTGCATAAACTTCCAAACACCTCAGCAACATGCTGCAGTTACCCATTAGAAGTTTCAGTACTTAGCAAACGTTTTCTGAGCTGCTAAATGCATTCATCTCAGGCAGGACACATCAGTGCTTTGATTCTATGAGTCATTGTGCCCCTAACAAGGCTTATTAAGAGCGAGTGTGTAGCCAAATACACTACAGGGCTACTGCCATATCTTGGCATGGTTCCTGGTACACAACAACGACCTGGCACATACTTCACTTGCATTTCCCTCTTGTTCTGTGTCACTTTAAAACTCCAGCTGGCATCAGTCATTTGGAACCTAATCCCATTACCAGCCCACAAACACAGCTGAACAGGAGCAGATGTAAAAAGTGTTGGAAGAACAGTTTACTTCAACAATACAAATCACACCGGCACAAATAAACAGTAGAGAACATTCCCGCTGCTGCTCTAAGTGAATTGTCAACTCCTTATTAAAATAATCCATGTTTTAACCATTCCAAAAACAGCAATTATTACAACAGGTACATTTAGATCCATTTTCATTGTGCCATAAATAAGTACCCCTGTGAGGACAGAGTTAAAGCTCTGATTTTCAATAAATATTCACTGCAGTCAACAGGTTCTGCTCACTTGGAAGTGTGCCTTAAAAGACATGCATGGTCACAAGTAAGGCAATGTTGCTTTGCAGGCCATTTACAATATACTGATGCATTACAGCATACATTTTACTTTCAGACCTGGTGTGTAAAGTCTCAATCTAATTTCCAAAACTTACACACAGTTACCCTTTACACAGTACAGATCATTCACTCTGTGTATATTTTGTTGCACTGTTGTATTTAGTTACAGTTGCAAGTTAAAAGTCAGAACAGCTACTGGTGTTCAAATTCTAAGTCTCCACTAGTTGGCAGCAGAGAGTCAATATGTTGCAGCTTTGGCGATGAAAATACAGTAATACTGTTTAATGCAACTTCACTTATTTTTACATGGTAAAGCTCTTTCCAACTTGAGCATGAGTCTATATTACCTGAGTAATCAAACAAGCATACACCAGTTAAGAGTTGTTTTTACAGACTAATTATTGGTGACAATGGAGCAAAAACTCCTTTCAAAAGAACTTCTCCTTTTTGAGGTGATTTTTGCTTATATTTCCAAGGGAGCACTAGGTTCTGCAGAGATGTTAGTCACTCTATAACAAGGGTCTCAAAGTACCGGCCCGCGAGCAGCTACTATGTAGCCCGCAGCCAGCTGACAAGTCAGGTACGCTGTCATGGACTGCGTACCTGACTTGTGGGAGAAGCTACATAGTCTGCATCTGACGGATCCAGGGACCATGCCTCCCTGTGCCTCCTCCCGGCAAAAAGGTAAGCAGGAGCCGGTCTGTATTTTATATATGGGTGTGCGTTGTATTTTATATATGGGTGTATATTGTATATATATATATATATATATGGGTTGTATTATTTTATATGTGCAGGGGTAGTATTTTTATTTTTATGTGTAGGGGTGGGGGCAGGGGATTGTATAAAGGCTCCATTCACAAGGATTAGTAAGTTTAGGTGCAATTAGGGATCCCTGGGTCAGGAATTTGCCTTTTCCTGCAGCAGGAATGCCTAATCTGGAGTTTACAAACAACAGCTGTCACCAATTCAAGTTAATGATTAGGTGACAGCAGCTGCATGAAAACGCCTGCACACCGCATGTAATGGTATGTGATATGATTACATTTGGTTAGGAATCAATCACTATCCCTGGACGCATTGATTGTGCATCCAGGGAGAGTGTTTTCTAACCGCATGTAATCATATCACATATCACTACATGCGGTGTGCAGGGGTTTACATGCAGCTGCTGTCACCTGATTATTAACTTGAATGGGTGCTGCATGTAAACACCAGATTAGTGATTCCTGCTGCAGGAAAACGCAAGTTCCTGACACAAGAATCCATAATTGCACCTAAACTTACAGATATGAATAGGGCTTTATTGTGTGTGTATTGGTGTCTGTAGTACCATACCGGATATAGTTAAATTTTATTTTGAAGTATGAAAATTGCCAAGCATCCCCCATGGGAGAAAAAGAAAATTGTTGAGTGGCCCCCGAGTGAATGGAGTTTGAAACCCCTGCTCTATAAAATATAAGTTGTGTTATATTCACAGGCAGGTGTCTTTCACCTGATACATCCTTGTTCTCTGAGAAGCTGTCAAAAGGTTATATGAAAGGTTATTCCATGTAAAACAGTATTTGCAAAGTTATGGATTGTGAGAATACTTCTCTGAAATCAAAATTCAACAGCTATTTTGTTTTTAATTTAACAAGGATATAAAATATCACAAATGCATCACTGATTTACATATTTGAGGCAAGAATTAATAGCAAAGATTAAGTATCCTGAAATGCTATCTGTTCTCCGGTTATGTCAGAACAGTTTGCATTCAGTTTAAAATGTGAGCATATCACAAGAGTGATGAGCACAATTGTTGGATCAAATCACTGGCAAGACCCCGTACTGAAAAATATAGGATAACGTTGATCATTAAATAATAAGTTCCACATGATTAGTCGCTTTATAGTATACGAGTAAATACTGTGACCAAAGTAATGACCACAAGAATAAATGATCAATAACTACCGCTGGGCATTCAAGCATTTACAGCTTCAGGTTTTTTGCATTATAAATACCACACATATCAATGTCTACTATTTATGCATTTTTCACATTTTCATAGACGATCATTCCCTAGTCCTGTTGTTTGAAATGTCATTGGACCTGGGGAAGAAAACAATCAGCCTGTTTGAATTTTAACTGATTTTCAAAATTACCTCCAACATAACATCAGAGCCAGAGGGCCACCTAGGTACAAAGTGATGCAAGCATCCATATAAGGCTCCATTCACACCTGAGCGTGTGCCTTCCAGCATGTTTTTTGCATGGTTTAACATGTGTTCATACACGCGGACAAAAACTTACACATTTTAATAGATGTGCGTTTTTCCATGCGTTTGCCACTACAACCACAATCAGAACGCGCAGCAATGGCCAAGAAAATTGCACATTAATCTTTTCTTGTTCTGCAAGTTTTTGTCCGCGTGTACGAACACACAGGTGTGAATGTATCACATTGGAATGCATTGACTTTTGTGTTTTGCCTGTATCTATATTAGCGGAAACGTACATTAAAGACTCAGGTGTGAACCGGGCCCTAAGTGCTAGTCAGCTAATGTTTTTTTAAAGGAATGCACATCTGGCTGCCATAAGTCGTGTATGGCCAGCTTGATACCCAAGTATTAACATTTTCCATACCATGCACATTTCTTACTTTGAATTAGGGTTCATAGCAGGGTGAATAGAAATAGATGGAGGAGGTGGTGAAATTCTGGGAGGCACATCATATTCTTCCATTAAAACATTTGATAAAACCTGAGGGAATAGAATAATATTTACATTAGTATACCTGGAAATACATGAAAAAAAAAGCTAACAAACCATTTTCCATTATTTATAGGTGATGTTCCAGTAAAAATATTACTGTAATCAAGACAATTAAACACGATCATATGGTTAAAGTGTTGTTTTCGCCTCCTGAGAGCAGATTAATCAGTGTCATATTTATTAACAATTGTGTTCAAGGTTTTGAAAGTATATTTTCAGCCCCAGCAGAAGTGTTCTGGTTTCCCCCATAGGTATTTGGCAATTGCACACCACTGTCTACCGAATGCCTGTGCAGAAGTAGCGTTCCAGGTGTTAAAATCCATTGTGATGAGCAATTACATGGATGCTGCAACAGGATGTGCAATGAACACCACACATTTCCAAGGCTAATTATTTACTATAACGTTCCTAAGTTGGATTTGCCTTGTGTAACTTGAGCTAGGGCAGCTAAATTGAACCAAATGTAGTCCACTTATAAATACAAATTTTAGATTGTAAGCTCTCAGGGGCAGGGCCCTCCTTACCATCTTGTTTTGGATTGTATTGTATGTCTTCCTAATATTGTAAAGCTCAAACTGTTGGCGCTATATAAATCCTGTATAATAATTAAAAATAAAAGACTAAAAAAATGTTTTAAAAAATTACCTCAGCTTGCCTTCTAAATCTTTCAAACCAGAGGCACGTTCAGTTCCTTAGCCAAGCGCTAAGTAGCTGTTCTGTAGCACTTTAGTTCGCTGCAGAAGCTTCAATGAACGCTTTGGCTGCACAGTGCTAAGCAAAATGGCAGAAGATAATAATTTTGACTAATAAATACAATTTTTTATTTAATATTTGGTGTGCTTGTCCACCAAAATATTAATTGGTTTCCTCCATCGGGGTTCAGGTACCTTTCTACAGCACTGCCAGGTGTGACCAAAGTTAAAATGGCTGCTGGTGCTCTGTCCTTGCCTTCTCTGTCACACCCCGCACTCTGGATCCACATTCACTTTCGCTGCGAGTGCCAAGTTAGCAGTGCGGAGCGTTGACTTGCAGCAGAGCGTTCAGCGGTGGTGTTCTAACTCCGTACTCGCAGCAGCTGTGCAACTGAACACACCTCAGGTGGTATCTTGTGCTGCACTGCTGCCACCTGGGAGAGCTGGGCAATCAAAATGCTGCAAGAATGAACCTCAGCCAATTACAAACTTGCATTCTCGTGCATGTTGAACGCTAAGTCCTCTTGGGAGGTATGGAAACATCACCTGCAACTACGAGAAGCCAGGCTAAGGCAGGTGCTTTAAATCACCCCTTCTGTATCTTTTGGTAAACGAGTAAGTGTGCCAGAAACCTTTAATAAAATTTACATTCTTACCCTTACACTTTCTGAAGGTAAATCATGATGTTTATGTTGTTTGTGCATAAACCTGCCATCCGAACTCAAGTGTCTCATGTGTCTTCCATTAAAAATAGAATTAGCTGTCTTTCCAAGTTTAGGGGAACGGTCATGTGCAATATGACATGCAGTTAAATGACTGGCACCAGAAACGTCTCTTGGGGACCAGGCTTCAAGGGGCATTGGCTGGTCTCTACAAGGCACATTTTCCACATGATGTATGTGTCTACATGTTCTGCTGTCTGGTGGGATTGGAGGCGGTCTCTCTGGCGGAGGCGGTGGTTCTCTTAAAGGAGGTGGAGGAGCTGGAAGTGGTTTATCCTGCTTTCGAACCATACATGGAGAAGACTACAATGATACAAAATACACATTAGAAAGTTGTTACAATGCGAACAAACTTTTTTGTCATGTCAAGTCATATTGTGTTAAGCCATTGAAGCATCTACATGAGCCTAGAGGAAAGGTTCAGTGATGGTAGCTAAATAAAAACAAATATTCAAACTCCCACACTAACTCTGCAGAAGAACTGCATATACTAGGCACAGTCAGAGCCAATACACGTACACATATATTTTTATAAATGCAGATAACGAGTACCATTTGGTTTGGTACCATCCTCCTCTGTACAGGAAGAGAGGGCAGTGATGACTTTATCAATCTATCATTATCTGGTAATCTGGTTCTATTTCATGACAGGACTGTATGAGACTCAGAACTGGCAAAAGAGAATAAAACATTAATTGGCAGATTAAACGGTATACATTAGGGATGCACTGATACCGATACCAGTATCGGAGCCGATACAGAGTATTTGGGCGAGTACTCAAATGCTCCGATGCCTAGCCCGATACTTTCTGCATCAGGAAGCCGGGCAGCGCGGCCACGCCCAAATGCTCGGATGCCTAGCCCGATACTTCCTGTATCAGGAAGGCGGGCATTCCCGCCTCCATCGTCACTTGTGATGAGAGAGCATGGAGCCGACTTCCCGGCCAATCAAGAAGCCGAGCAGCGTGTAATGACGCGGTGCCCAGCTTCCTGATTGGTCGGGAAGCTGGCCAAATCAGGACGCCGAGCGCCATGTAATGACGCAGCGCCCGGCTTTCCGATTGGACGAGGGAGCATGGAGCCAGCTTCCCGGCCAATCAGGAAGCAGGGCGCCGCATCATTACACAACAAAATATCGGTACTCGTACTCAGTACCAAAATATCGGTATCGGTGCATCCCTAGTATCCATATATGTATTTCAACCATGTATATGGCCACTTGCCTGCAGTTCAGCTTTAAAGTAAGCCTATTAAAAGAAAAAAGGGATGCTCTTAAGAGAAACCAGATATATCTTAAACTTCAGATGCAAACACCAGCTTCCCGACAGTTGCAACATGCATGGTCTCAAGATAGAATTTGTGCAGAACATTCTGGGGGAAAAATGCAGTTGGTGTTTCGGAAATCAGTGTGAATAAATTACAGAATGATATGCGCACCTTACTTATGTTTACGTCACTATGTTGCCCAGAAACGTTGGCTGTTTGACACATGTGACAATTGAATAAAAAGTGCTTTACTTCTTGCACATATCATCGAGTGCTGGCGACTTCTATTATGGACTGTATCTGACACGGCGCCATCCGTGTTGTCACTTCAAGCACCAACCTCTTACTCAAGGTCTGTACGCTGTATGGAGTGTAGATGATTTTGTATTATCCCTTACTTATTTTAGACACATTGGTTACTGTTGATATGTTTACTAAATTAAATAGTCTCTTTATACAAACAAAAAGCTGGACTGTAGAAAATTTACCTTTGGTGACCCTGTTGGACTGGCACAAGGTGAGCGTGCTCCTCCTTTCTGAATAAGATCTAGTCGAGGAGGAACCGGTGGAAGGTTCAGATGTGGCACTAATAGATCAGGCGTTGTTTTTTTCCTTTGTGAAAGTGGAGAAGAACCTGGTGAGGTCACTGGTGAATTCTGTCTATCAATCATCTAAAGAGCAAAAAAAATAAATATATTAACTATGTGGAAGAAAATGGAGAGAAAGGCAGGGGGAGAAGGAATAAGAAATCACAAATCCTGGGAATCTGTGCCCAATAATGGAAGCAGTCAAAACTGATGGAGTGCACAATACTGTGAGTGCTAGAAGACAGCCAGACACTTGAGAATATCAGCAGCCCTGGATATTGGAGGGGCAGCTGCAGCAGGGAGCTGCTAGAACCGAGATGTCACTTTCAGTGAGATCCACACAGGTAATGTGGACCTGTTCACCTCTTCAAGCCCCATTCCCCCCTAAATGGTGCCATTGCCTCACTCATCTTAGTGGTTTCTATCCCATAGAGTTCCAATGTTATCTCTCACCAAAGCCCCCTTTGTCCCACCCCAATACATTGTCAATGTTTCTAATTGCCTATTTTTTATCCACACCAACTGATCCTAGATGTCTTCTGCCCATCCCACTCCAGGATTACTGAACCCTAATGTCTCCTTTCCCATCCAATTTTAGCAACATGGATTCCCGCTGCTTGGTGTCCCATCATACTGCCTCTTATCCCAATCTGCTCAACTTTACTGATCGCTGATGCCTTCTTTTCCACCTCAATGAACCCTCCTACTCCTGTGTACCATGCCACTCACTCCTGCTACATCCAGCTCCGCTATCACTAATGCCCACTACACCCTGCGTCATCCTGCATGGTCATCATAGACCCCTACTGCATTATTTCCCATCACACTGCCATAACTTATCCTAACAGCCTCCTGTCCCACCTCACTCTGCCATTACTGATCTCCACTGCCTCTAGCCCAGCCACTCTCCAATTTCTCCAATTCTGCTGCCTAATGAGCCTCCTACCACATCAGTAAAATCACTCTCTTCTGTCCCAGCCTGCTACACTATCTCCGATTTCCACTTACTCATACATGAACTTACTTCACCATCCCAAATATACACTTTTGCTGGATTCTGCAAGGAAGCCAGAAATCAGGTACCTCATACATGCAGCAGCCGGCTACGGCCAAATTTCAGGCCATTCTGAACAGACAAAGCTCCAACACTCCAGTGTCACTTTAAAATGTACTACAAAAACACCACCAGAAAAGTATAGGTACTGTAGAAAGCATCTCTGACTGATGCTGGTGCTCAGATCATTGCCATCTTCAAGCGCTAAGGTCATCGAAAAATCTTCTACATCTAACACACTTGTGAGTGTGGTGGATGTCTGGCCCCCCAATGCAAGCTGTAGTTCCATCTCCTGACCATTACGTCACTACAGGACACAGTTATGCAACCAAGAATGCAATATAACTAAATAAAATAAAACTCACTTGGAAAACAATGGTTTAAACAGGTATAAGTAGTGTTAGATAACTGTATAAGAAACATTTTCAAATGTTTTACATTAAACAAGAAAATGGTTGTAAGTCGACAGCTCAAGCAAACAAAAGGGGGGGAAGGAAACTAAAAATAAAACATTTCCTTCATAAGTTTAATACCACAGCCTCAGTATAAACTGTAAAACTATGTTGAATTATTGTGACATTTACCATGAGGAATATTGTCAATAGCATTATCCCACATAACCAGTTTACAAACCTCTATTGCAACAGCCATCACTTCAAACCACATGTTTCCATTAGGAAACAATCTGTAATACAAACTGATAAATCTCTAAAGTTTGGCATACCAAACACTGTTCATATACATGGCACTACACACAAACCAGGTCACAAATGACAGTGAATTAACTGCAACATTACGGACTTTGCTCTAGAAAATGTTGCAGAAAATAACATTTGTTAACACTATTAATAAAGATGAATGCTAAACTCTGTTAAAGCTGAATTCTAGCCAGAAAATGCTTCATGTAAATGTATTGCTCAGTACATGTATTCCACAAGGAATATAAATCCACTTGGGGAGCACCAAACATCTTTGGAAACCTAGGTATTACTATATAAAAAGGTAGCAGTGGCATTATCTCTGTGCTAAACATAATCTGTGCATGGAGTAGAGCTGTGGGAGAGATGCAGCATGCCCACCCACGACAGGCTTTCTACAGATAACTATAAGAGGCTGAGATAGGACCAACCACTCTGCACAAGGAGAGAGCATCTGTGACTGGTCTTTATAACAGAAAGCTCCTGCACAGAGATACATTTTTATAATGAATCACTGCACACATCTGGAAGAAATATATAAAGCACACCAAGATTCAAGTAAAAAATACAATTGTCTCTTATATTTAGAAAATATTCGCTTACCCCAGAGTTCAGCTTATAAGTTGCAGAATACAGGATTAGTTATCTTTAAAGCTATAATGAACCATAGTATCTTATTTTTTTAAATAGCTATAGAGCAGACAGCAGGGAAATTACTGCAATACCACTTACTTTAGGTTTGAAAGGCCCAGTGCTACATCAATCAATGAAGAAATTTATGTTAGTAAAGGCAAACCTATGTCCCATTACAGCAAAACTAGACAATTCATAAGCTTTAGTGAATCTATAGCTTCAAGTGAACATGGTCATATAAAAAAAAACTATACTGGCATTCCTAATGATGGAATTGTAAAGGCTGTAATTATATTTGGCATGATATGGAAATGATCATTTCTGTTGCATTACTGGGTCCCTTTTGCTTCTGCGTTCCACAACAGTTAGATGGTCTGCTATAGTTATGCCCTTCACTGATTACCTTCCATTGTGCTTTTTGGAACACATGGAACCAATCAAATCATTCCCTGCCCTGTATGTTGTGGTGGATTAAAAAAGAAAATCCATGCAAATACAAGGAAAATACAAATTTACAGGACATATGTGCCTTGTAACAACCAAGGTTAATGTTGGTTCTGTGTTCCAATGAATGCGATGCTATGCCACAAACCTTTATATAAAACTACCACAAACGCACATATTTGGGATATAAAAATGAAAAGTAACAGTCTTTACCTTCCTCACAGAGGCCAGTCTGTTCATTATCAAGCATTCTTCCCTCTCATCCTCCTCATCGAAATCCAGTATTGGAGTACCTAAACTGTCTAGACTGCAGATCCTGTTCTCGTCTCTTGGATCAAAAGGATCAACTATAATTGGTTCAGTGCCCTTGATTTCACATCGACAGAAAGGACAGCCTTGACCATCGGATTCCTATGAAGAAGCACAAGAAAATAGGATGAAATAGCCAATAGTTGCGCTCTGACTTAAATTTCATTGTGTATTCAATTAAAACTAAAAGAAGCTGGTTTCCTGAAAATGAGGCTTGCACACAAGCATTTAAACATGTATGTGCAAACAAGAGGCAGTCTTTTTACAACGCAATTTTGGATAAAATTTTGATTAAGCAAACAAGAAGAGTCATCGAAAAATTTTAATACCATGAAAAAGCAGATCAGGGCCAGTCACACCACAATTCAATGCATGTCAACGCATGCACTTTAACGTGTTAGGCAGCTCTTTCATTTTGTAAAAGGTGGTCAATGCAGCAAATTTCAGTTATGTAAGATATTTGTAGAGGTAGAAAAGGAAGTCCAACACAAACGGTTCAGTGGTGTTATATGTTGCCCAAGCAATGTGGCTTCCTGAAGTTTAGGACCTCCGGTAGAATACAATTTCCTGTACAATTTACTTGGTCTCCACACTGCCTGAACACCTTTGTAACAAAATTACTTTACTTTGTTTCCACAATTATTTCAAATTCTAAGCTTACCTAAACATGCAATAGCTCCAGATTTTTGCATACTACAGGTCAGTCATCAGACCTGGGTCTGTAGCTCTCCAACTGCGGCAGTTTGCCCCATATTGGCACTATATGTCCATTAACGTTTGCTATAAGCAGGTAAGAATTTGGCATTGTGCAAAGTATAGTACGGACTGGCCAGAGAGGGAGCACGTTAATGCAGGTGGCCACCTTGAACCTGTATTGCAATATATGCAAACCAAGAATCTTTGTTTCTAATCAAAGGTTTTCTGGAAATATGTAAGTGTGAATAGCTTTGTGCACAGGGTTAATTCAGAATCTTCTGTCTAACCATCTAAAACACACATTTCAAAAGCATGAAATAGAGCACTGCCTCAAATGCAGAGAGATAAGAGCTAAATTTGTGTCAACCACGTTTTCACTGCCTCTTCTTTTTGATTTAAACAAGAACTTCGGGCAAAACATTTATTAACCCTTGCAGTGGGGCTACCCCCCGTACTGCAAGGGTTAACTGCTTGGTTTTGTCTAGGTCAGAGGTAGGCAACCTTGCCTCTCCAGCTGTGCTGGAACTACAAATCCCATAAGGCATTGCAAGCCACAGGCATGACTCCCAGAGGCAGAAGCATGATGGGATTTGTAGTATCAGCACAGCTGGAGAGCTAAGGTTGCCAAGGTCTAGGTGCATTAAATAAAAAGTTATACTCACACGAGCCACTGAGCCGCCTCCCTGCTTCTCTACTTCTACACTGCAGCACCGGAATGTTCCTCAGCGTCCTCAAGTCTATACACGGTATATAGAACGTGATGATTTATATGACCTTAGACCACTGCAGAGGAGGGGAAGAGAGGCTGGAAGGACAGGTCTAAGAACAAACCAGGTCTGCAGTTCAGGTGAATATAGCCATTTTTTTTAAGCACCTAGACAAAAACAAGCAGTGAACCCTTGCAGTGCAGGGGCAACCCCACTGCAAGGGTTAATAAAAGTTTTGCCCAGAGTTCTTTAAAAACGAATGCACATGGCCTCCGCCGACTTAAATTTCAGCTGGTATGCAGGGTACACAATTGAATGTAAAACAAATGTTTCTGCTTATTTTGCAAGTCACAGTTTACAAATGGGCGACATATTTCGGATTTGCCTGCATTTCTGCGTTTGAATGTACAATGCCAAAAATACAATAGGGTAAATCAGCAAGCTGCAGGAGTTATTTTAACAGTGTTTGTTCATTTATCTTACTATGTTCGGTTCAGATGAATACTGCATAGGTGGGCAATCTATTTTTCTAGGTGAAATTGTTTTTATTTCTCTCCAATATTTACTTAGCCAAAAGCCACGGCAATCAGCAATCAAATGCGAGATATAAATACTGCAAAAATTGATAATATGCAGGTAACTTAACAAAGTTGTACAACAAAACCTCTACTGAATTCATCCGATCATTCTTGACCATAAAAATTATCAAACACACAATAATGAGAATACTGTATAAACTATGACTTTGTGAACTGGCCATCAAGGCTTTTGTGCATCATTTATTATACAGTGTAACCTCTCCAGGTCTGTTTTCTACGTTGTTTTAAAGATAGCTCAATAATGCATAATATTTCTTGTCTATTGAACTATGATTGTAAAGAAAGGCAAAATCCCAGCTTACTGCTGCCATAACTTTGTCAATGCATGATTAAACACAGCAGCGGCCTAATGATCATCCCGGTCACAAGATCCCAGTCTGACATCAATTAAGTATCAGCTTAGGCCGCCGCACTATCACATGCTTCCTAGCTAAATTGAGAGTTGAAAGACAGTAATCGGATGAACTTTAATATCCCTACACATTCAGAATTTGCCATTGCGTTTGGGATGAACCACTTCCTCTGTTTATGGTGGTCTTTACTAGCCATGGACTGTTGAACAGAGCAGCTGTTCAACAGAAACCATATGGAAAAGCTCTGAAATCTATGGCTAAGGCCTAATAAAAATAAGCCATATTACTCATTTTACTGCCACTTATAAAGATGAAAGCTAAAGAATTAGAAGAAGGCATCTTTTACACATGCAACCCGAGAGGCATATGACACAGTTCATAGTCACAGAAGCACCATACCAATGGAGCTATTCAAAAAGTGATGCATGCAGCACACATGTGGGCACATTCATTTATAGTAAAGACACAAACACTGGACACAGTCTATAGAGGTTATGAGCCGCAGCACATGGCAGCCAGTCAGTGCTAGTCAATACATGTATTGCCAGCAAACCTCATCTGTTGCTCTGGATTGTCTGGGTAGTTGCTAACAGCTTAAAAAATGGGTGTGATATAGTCTGAATATCTCTCAATGTATTGTGCCACTACACATTTATCGATGCAAACCATATAAACTACTGTAGTCATCCTGCCCTATATTAATATGCTGCGAGCATGACTTTAATGAGTTAATTCCTTACAGAAAAATTAAATACAAGCTGCCATTACCTGCTATACAGTAAGAGAATGACCATGTGTCTCTTTGTAGACCATCAATGTGTAACCACTCTAAGGCTCAGTTCACACATTAGCGGTGAAACGCGGTAAACAAAAAAAATAAATCTTTACCAATGTGTGTTGTTCACACTAGGGCAACGTCTGCGTGATACGAAACCGCGTGTCCCGCAAAAAGTCCAAGCACAATTTTCTGGGCGGAATCCGCGCACGTTACAGTTTGCACATTTTCGGCCCACGCGGTTTTCCATGCATGTGTGAATTGAGCCTAAGGGCATGCATCAACGTTCTTTTGTTTGCGTCAAGTCATACAAGTCTATGGGAATGTCTTGCAGGTCAGAAGGCGGTGAACTGCAGGTCAAACATTGACAGGACAGGAAACTGCAGCAGCTACAGCTCTCGGACCGAACGCCAAAAATACAGGTGTATTTTACACTGTATGAAAATACACTCATTTGTTCTGCAAGACGCTCGTCTGCATGAGACCTTAGAAATCAACTGAAACCCAACTTGAGTCTTTGTTGTGTTCTTTAAAAATGAATTTCTTCACTGTACGAGCAGTTTGAGAGATCGGGGACGACTTGTTTTAAAGGTTCTTTTTTTGTTTTGTTTTGTTACCGCTTGTTAAGAAATATAAATGTCCATAGTCTGGGCACAAGTGCACTTTAAAGAGAAAGCTCCAGGAATCTAAAAAGTTAACCCTTGCAGTGGAGCTACCCCCGCACTACAAGGGTTAACTTCTCGTTTTGGTCTAGGGGCTCAAATTTAAATCAATATACTAACTTGATCCTCGGTCCGACCTGGACCGAGGATCAGGGAGAGAGGTGAACAGGGAGAGAGGTGAGCACTCACCGCTGCAGTACCGAGGATCAGGCAAGTACATCTTCTGTATATGGCCCCTAGAACAAACCATGCAGTTCTTTTTTTTTTGACGGTAATACCCTCATCACTTAAAGCTGAGTTAACAGTCTTGACAGGGTGGATGAAGAAAGAGAAGGGTTGAAATAATACCATTCCCAGAGAATATATTACTCCAGATGCCCTTTACTGTTGCTCATACAATCAAAAGCCTAGGCATTTTATATCATGATTTGTGATGAATTGGAGGGACTGAATTCAGACTCTTCATGTATTCACCACAGAAAATCTGTTAATACTTTTGAGTACAGGTGCAGTTCAGCAACTAAACAATAACAGCCAAATAAAGGGACCTTGTGCCCAAAAAGTTTTAAATGATTTTGTCTGTAGTTGGCTACTACATATTTTATTCAAAGGTTTGTTTTTTTTTACTTTCACAGCCCTGATATCTGCTCAGAAGATTAGGGGCATCAATTAACTTGCATTTGTTTGAAAAACAATTTGATGTACTGCACAAGTTAATATTTCCAAAATAATGTGAAATACACCAACGAGAGCAGAAAGGGGAATGCTGGGTCTGTACTTATATATACATTAACAACGTAAGCCATAAAATAACCTGATCATGAAAACATACATTTTTATGTACAAATCCATCTTTCTCCCCCCCCCCTGGACAGTAAGGGACTGTGGGAGACAGATTTGATGTTATTAGTATTTTGGCACCACTGCTTTGTCTGGTGATCTCTGCAGGTGAGGTGTTCAGCTCCCAGCACCTTTGCTGTGACCACAGACTTGACAGCCTAACCACATGTATGAAGTGCACATATATGCAAACACATTCAAGTACATGCTTCCACAGGTGGAAGTAAAAGATTGATGCAGATCTGGGAGTGCATAGCAAATCAGGGCACAGATATATGGTGGCTATTAAAGAGTTAAACGTCAAGATATTTCACCATCATGGCTTTTTCAGGTCATGAACCATGGAGCTGTGTAGGCGAAATGCATTGCTAATGTTTGCCTAATAAATTCAGAAGATCATAGAAGTGCTTTAACACTGTATCCTGTCTGGATTCATTTTACTGACTCATTGTTCCAGCGACCATAGTGCT